TGTTTTACTCACTTGGCGTACGTCCCTTCACCGAGTGTATCGAACAGTTCCAGTCCCTCAAACTGATTGTGGTTTGACGCAACTTTGCTTACAGGTTTGCTGACCTGCTTGGGGGTAGCGGTCATCATATTGTCTGTCTGTAGTTTGACTTATACAGCCATATAATACTTCGACTTCGTTATTTTACTAGTAGTGCAAGTTGTGAATAGACTTGTGTCTCAGCATAAAGCTGAAAATATATGTTTTGGCTCTTTTTATATCCCGTCTAGCATGGAGGATAGCTCCTTTGTTGTATAAACTTGTGTAAGCAACCCCTTTCTATTTACTGATGCAGCAAGCGTTCAGTATAGTGTACCGGCACAAAACTGAAAAGAAATAGTGTACTTTTCTTCATATGATATATATTTTAGTAGAGACGCATCATATGCATCACATATATAACTTCGAGTTAAAAGTGGTTATTTTCTGATACAAGTGTATTTACATCCGCGTCTGCCCTGTGAACGCCTGAACCCTAAAGCCTTGAGCTAAACCCAACAATCATAGATGTCGATAACCGACAGTCGACCGGTGGCAATCGTGTCTTTTCCCGCCCAGATTGTATGTGTCCATATGTGGCACTTTGCGCGGTTCCGTGACTTTTGGTCGCTGTAGATTTGTCACACGTTAATTCGTCACGTGACAAAACAATTCAACATTTGGCGCAACGCTACCGAGTTCGCCCTTCCAATTTCCGTTAAAATCTCTTCAGGCTGACCACGGCTAGATCACTTCCCTGCCGCTTTGACAGGTATGTATGTAAGCATATTACAGAACAGCCTCTCCAGGTGACATCAATGTATTTTGCATGCAAGTGTAATATAAATATACGTATAAACAATAGATACATGAATAGATACATGGATATCTACATACATACATACACGCGTATATGTATATAGATATATCTATCTAGTTTTCATCGACTGCAGCGCAATTCCTTACATCATAGCATATCATATCATGTCAGGGCGAACACGTATGCTTGTTTTTGTCATGCATACGCAAGCGTAGATACACACAATCCTTTCTTATATACATTTTTAAGTAACGAATCTGTGATGTTAGGCATGCGAAACCAACCAAACCAACCCAGCAAACCCTCTGTGCGATTTCCTTCATCGCTTGTACCGTTGGAAAGCGATGACATTCCCATAGCACACATCAAAGGCTTTGAAGGTGTGTCTGAGCTCAATGCTGAACTTATGTGCGGAAATGACGCAAAAGTGCTACCGGACGCAAGGGTAGGCCCTGCACTCAGAGCAGTATTGAGTTGCAAACCAAGGGATATCAGGAAGGCTGCCGAAGATCTTGCTCTGGATTGTGGTAAGTGCATTAGCTCGAGCATGATTGCGTGTAATTGTACTCTAGCACGTGCCGTGCCGTGCTTACTCGAGTACTTGCGTGTGAATTATTGCAGGCAGGCCGTGATATATATATAAGTATTGTACAAGAACTGAGAGATGTGTATATAAAGTAAGATAGCTGCGTAACGACAGGAGTCGAATCCAGACGTGCGCTTTTGAGTTTCATTACATATTGTTATGATAGACTTCAGGTGTTTGTACACACCTTAGATGCACTCACATTGTAGATCACTCACGATGATAGACTTCAGGTGTTTGCACACACCTTAGATGCACTCATATTGTAGATCACTCACGCCAGTGTGGTCTCAAAGATCCTTGAACCTTTGCATTTCTCTTTGTACGCACACATTTGGATAGCAATACTACTGTTTCTTCCTAGGCTCATATCTGTAGTTTGTATATCACTTTTGTTGTTCACGGGGGTATGCTACATGCTTATCTTGAGCAATATGTCACAAATCGACGACAAAGTATGTGCGATAACTGTAGTGTCAACGCCCCGCCGCGCGTTGATGTCAAGATGCCGGACAATTAAAAAGAGGATTTATTATGGAAAATCTGACCGACGAGTGCAAAATGTTTGTTGTTTTTACGCGGCCTAGTCCGTGCGTCTGTTTGATTTGCATGCCTTGCAATGTATGGTATTCTAGGATCTCAATGCCAATTCTTATTGATTATTACTTTGGTAGTAGCAACAACTTGATACTCTCTCGAGTGCATAACCTGGTCGAAGCGAACTTTTCGGGCGTGCACGTGACTTGAATTCGCCATTAATAGTCCACGTCAGTATGTACATCTCTGCTGTGTGCACAAGCGCACGCAGTCCACAGGAATGTACTGTGTGGATAGGGTAACTCATAGGTCCCACGCTATGGTTACGCAACCATACACTCTCCACGCACACACAACAACTGCATACCTTTTTCTCACCACAGACCCTTGCTTAAAGCACGCATGGGCTCACAGATAGTGCATACAGACTCATGCCCATTGATCGTGCCTTTACTGTCTAACAGTTGCTGGATGTAACCTGTCGTCGCATCTCCTTGTGATTCTGAACTTCTTGCGAGAAGACGGCCGTAGAGTCCCACCACACACCCAAGCGGGTGAGGGCGAGTTTCCAGTTGACAAGGTAAAGCAGATAGCTAAAAATAGCACACCCACCGGGGAAAGGGCTATAGAGTCACACTCAGCCTCGAGTGTGCATACTACGGCTGAGAAACTGTTTGATCAGTTCGCGCAGGATGTCATCTCGCGCGATCTCGCCATTCCGCTGGTGGACAGATGGCTGCAGCAACGCAAGGGAACTAAGGAGAAGCACAACACGCGCACCGCTGCGTATGCGCTGCTGGTGGCGCTCCTGGAGATAGACTATGTATGCCGTATTTACATACATGTTTGGGAAGTTTTCTCTCGTCGTGTGTGTGGGTGTGAGTGAGTGAGTATAGGTCTTCTATGTAAGAAGCGGTAGTCGTGCGCGACCTGGTCATTAGCTGGTGATCATATACACGCAGCTCGGGACGTACACGTGCGAGATGCTTAATACGCTTATGGGTTGTGTTTCTTCATCAAATTGATTGTATTATAGGTACAAATCTGTTTGTGTGATTTATTCCTCTAGACTTAACTCCAATTGAATATTTGGGCGTGTGTTCTGGAACTGTATGTGTGGGCATATTTATCCGTCTGTATACGTATATTGGTATACGATTACTGATTTTCATAGGTTTATACTTCCTTAGGTCTGGTAGTTGGGAACAGGTACATTAAGCCATCGGCCAAGACAGGGGTGTCAACTAAAGTGTGGTTTGAAAAGAATTCGGCAGACGATTATAAGTACTGAGAGTGATACATCAATTCTCGACTCAACTATTACTACTAGCCTCGATTCATTACTTATTATAATTCTTTCTCGCGTTTGCTCCCTATTTAATCCAGGCATCTCACACGTCTCACTCGATGGCCTCAACGGTCAAAGCACACCCCAGGAGTGCCAGCCTATCCTTCATGTGCAGTCTCACACGAACACTGCGTGCGGTGAAAACAGGTATGTTGGCTAATAACCGATTGTCCGTGTGAATGTGGAGCAGACACGAAAATGATGAATAGTGTATTGCGCAAAAGTTGCACAATACATACCGTTATGCTTTTGCACATACGCGTTAGAAGCAAATCTCATGCACCGTTGCGTATACACACGGACAAGCCTGCAAGCATACACTCAATAGAGAATTTACTGCTACATTTGGGCTGTAGTGAAGTGCCCTGTAATTTAATCACAAGTTGACATTGGAATGCGATGTTACAATTTGTGCATTCGGAATTTTTGTATTGGCCAGTTGGTGAGCAAAATAAACCTGTGCGTGCGGAGGGTGGATTGCACCTTCTGCGAATATATCGTTTTGTACTTTGTTTCTATCGCATGCACCATGCACATCGATGTTAATCATTTGTCAACGGTTTCCGCACTCGACTGCTATACGTTTGGGCGATTGCGAACGAAATGGTGCACAACAACTAGTACCACATATGAAACCCACATCCTCTCTGAAGTGTTCTTTTCCTTACTGATGTGTTTGCCTCTGCATTGCAACAGAGAGTGCCATGTGTATGCCTTGCTCCTGAAAGTGTTCCACTCTGAATTGTTGACACATCAAAACAGTCTTAATAACACACTTAACGCCCGCCCACACTCGCGTCTTGTATTCACCGTACTATTCACAGGTGGTGTTGCTGAAGATGGCAGACTCTATCTGGGGATTCTGGAGATCTTCAGGCGCTTCGCTGAAGCACGCAACGCCCACGCCCCGTTCACAATCCAAGGTTGTGCAGCCGACCAGAGTTCCCCACACATACCACGTACTGCGAAAGAAAGTTCGATACAAACACCTCAGAATAGAGAATTTAATCCGCGGCTAAGTAATAGTCAGCAAGGGCCATCCGTCAGTGTGGGCGTCTGCGATTCCGGTGCTCGCACAAGTACTGCACGACAGTATTACGGGGGATACATTCTCAGCGTGTGTGCAGAACAAGTGGTGTGCTGTGTGGTGCCTAGCGGTGGAAGTGAAGCACATAGTACGCCCTGCACTTGCACCAAGCATAGGCGTTCTGGCGACAGGGGCGTATATTGTGTTTCTCACAAGGGGGGCGAAGATGGCAACGAAATAGACTCGGATTCCGATCGGTACTGTGGTGTGACAGAGAGACCTGGGACGAAGTGTGATAGCAAGTATTCGAGCAAGTTCACGCAAGGTCATGAAACTGAAAGGAGACGTGACAGGGACTCAACACACGGAAGGACATGCAGAGATGGCCAGAGCACACAACAGAGAACGCCAACACGGGCCAATGGGAAGGCGGCGAAAGCTGCCTTAGCGGTGTGCCGTGCCGTAGCCGATTTTGAACTCAATAAGGTGCGTAAGTAGGTCTTTGATATGTGAGTTGTTTTGCGAGTATAGAGTATATTGGGTAAGGCAGTGGATATATGGATGGATATCATTATTTGTCTTGATATATGCAAAAGGTGAGGGCTGTTGGGGCCCCGGTGCCGAGACACTTCTCTATAGTTTGCAACTGATCTCGTAACCTTGAGTATGGCTCTTGGTCTCTGATAAGGGGGTGCCTGTGTTGTGCAATATAATCCAATGTGAGTGATTTCAGGTACCTCTGTAAGTCTGGGCGCAGTCGGAGTGATTTATTGTACGTCTTCAATTTTGACTATCGATTAAGTCATCGTGATGACACGTATGACCGTGTTGTATATTGGAGATGTAGACGATTAAAAGGTGACATATGTATCTGCTCTTCAAAATATTTGCGATGAAGTTTCGCCGCTGTCGTATTATCTATCAGATTGCCCACCGTTTGTTTGCGAGTGTACATTTGTGATTCCTATACGGGCCGCATGACAGTGGGTCAAAACTGGTTGCCTACGGCTGTTGTGGGTGTTTCACAGCATAGTGTAGCAGTTGCTGGGTGTGAACTGTCACCAAAGACTCTGAACAGTTAAAAGCCCTGCGGTTGCTAGTGAATGACCCCATGCAAGGTGCCAAGAATGACCCCATGCAAGGTGCCAAGAATGACCCCATGCAAGGTGCCAAGCACTGCGAACGCTAACGAGCCGTTTGGAAGCTCCTCCCCTTCTGTTATTGTGGCTACCACGTACAATTGAGTATCAGCCGAATTTTCAACTCAGACCAGAGGTGATCAGACTTAGTCAAGCTCAACCATTATCATAGGTCTATTACATCCACATTCCTTTCCTATGTATGTATTTTTCAGTGTTAACATCAAGTCTAGGCCTAACTGAATTTACCCCTTTCGGCCACATCCAATCATCCAGTACCTATGCCTCCCCACCGCTTCGCTATTCCTCGACGCGCTCAGTGACTGGGACTTCAAGCATATTCGTGTTCCTGAGATGGCTGTATCTGCAGCGCACCGCCGCTTGCCATCCCAGCTGATCAGATTCCTGATCAAAGACGCGGCTCGGTTACTAGGCGCACCTGCCGTACACAGCAAAAAGACTACCGAAACCAATGGTGGCGAATGTCTCAACCGTGCACAACTGGCCGGAGTGTTTAAATGGATATGCAATGTGGTGGACACGCACTTGCTGACTCCCCATAGTGCCAAGGACGTTACGACATTGTTGAAGGCTCCTCTCGCTGCGATCGGGTGTGTCATCTGAAAACTCTTGCTATACACTTGTGCAGATCTGAAGCTATTGTGGTCCGCGCGAGATCGTTCACTTATTGTGCAAAAATACGTATTCAACCCACACCTAACGTTGCGGGCTGTAGAGATACTGTCTCCTCAGTTGTAAATTGTGCGTGGTTAAAACCTTTTATCGGTAAACTTATTTTATCGCACTGAAAACAATACAGCAAGCAAACTTGCCCGATGGAGCTTTTCAGTAGTGCGTGGGAGTGTGGTTTGGCGCACGCCATGCACGGCCCAACTGTTCTTCCCTCCTTTGTCGATGAGATTATAGATCCGGACGCTCCCTCAGTGGTAAGTTATATTCCTCGTCGTTGTTTCCTATACTTGACACGTACTCAAAATAGCGCATAGCTACCAAAAGACAGTGCGAATTGGAGCTTTTTGTATCAAGATTTTACACACAATACCATCTCTCAAATACAAATACTCCCCAAACTCCCCGGCACGACCACGATCAGCCAATGGACGATGCAACGAGTCTCGCGCTCTTCCTTATTACCAAGGTGGTACCTAAATTAGGCTACGAAGCCGCCGCCAGCAGCTCTAGTATGTGTAAGTGCGACCTCACATACTACGGAGATGACAGCTGCACGAGTGACGCCTACGTTCAAGCATTCATTGTACGACTACTCGAGTTCTGCATGGAATATCGTACGTGCGTAGAGATGGAGCGTACTCGCAAACCCCGCACCAGTGAAAACACACACGGAGAAGCTTCCTCATTTGCTCCGTCGACAACCGGGACACAGGTTGAATGCCTATGGCTGGCATATATGTACCGTCGAGAACTTGCTTTTATCTCTCGCGAGTGGACGCATCGCTTAGCCGCGCACATAGCTGGTGTGCTGCAGAAAGTTGACCCACTCACCCGTGTTACCTTTATAGGCCGTAGAGAGGCACTGGTTACAGCGACAGCGCAAAATGTACTGCTTGGGGCGGTTGAGCGCTGGTTGGTGTTCGGTGTATGCGACTCGCGCATACACTCGGGGGGGACACACTCGCAGCGAATTGACCCAAGCACTCACACCCATGCAGGTGCAGAAGAAGGCGGGGATGAGGGGTGTACTGGTTCTGGGCTTGAGGTTGGGGGCCTTCCGATGTGTGTGATACGTGCGCTAAACGAACGGTGCGGAGACACCCTCGACAGAATGGGGTGCGGTTTTGCATGCGAGTGTGGCTGCGAACATGCACGCGACTACAAATGTAAACATAAGTGCAGAAGTATGACTCAGCACAGTGGCAAGGTTTCACTTGGTCGTGGAGATGTAGCCGCGTACAGTATGACTAGCGATGCACAGTGTCTGGCGACAGAGTCTTCTGCGCCAAACACCTTGCTAGTTGAATGCAGCAGTAGTAAGGAAGGGGAATATGGGGGTGAAGCTATCGTTTGTATGCGAAGTGTGCACCCATTTGACCCGAAGTGGGTCGAGTGCCTTGTTCGATACGCGGTTCAAAGCTGCTGTATGATTCGACACTATTCAGAGGAGAACCACGAGGGCGGTCTTGATAACAGGTCCAATAAACCAGGGGACGAATCAAAATCCTCCGAATCGAAATCGAATTGTTCTGATTCGAAACTGGAATGGCCCAACTCCCAGGAGCCTCTCTCTGGGCGCACAGCTGAATGTACGGGCCACAGTCGTACGTGCGATGTGTGTGATTGCTCGCATGCTATATGGGCGAATTTCTTGTCTATGCTGTTAAGATCATCGTCTCTAGATTGCACTGTCACCACGCCCTATACACATATCAATACACACTCTGAACACGCACACACGAACGCGCTATTAGAACTTAACCCGCTGCAGACAATACTTGTGCGTGCCATAAGCGACGGCATAGCGTATGGTGAGCACTTGAGTGACTCACCCGGGTGTGACCGATTGATCTCTGTTGTGGAAGGCGCTGACTACAACGACAACCGTTACACTGTTGTGTACTCCGAGCGCATCCACATCCAAGACACGCCCCCGGCAACGGCAGTATCGGAACATCCCACTGAAGCGGTCGCTGGCTTAGATGGAATGTTGTCAAAAGGTGCGTATACGCATACTGGAAAACGAGGGAAAGAAGTGCATGCCGCGACTTCAGGAGACTCTCGTGGGTGTGTGAGGAAAGGGGTCAGTGGTGTGTCTGATATCGCCAGCGGACCCAAAGTGGTTGAGCTATCAGCCGACGAAGACAGTGGAGAAGGAGTATTGGAATATAGCGCAATAACAGCACCCGCCAAACTATCCCAAGGGCAATCGTCGGGATCAAACCTGACTGTGGGTGTGGATGGCGTGAGGGGCTTGAGCAAAGCGCACACGCCGATTGAAAGGTGGGGGTGGGACGGTACGGCTGTTTGGAATGTCCTGCTGAGTGCTCGAGACGGGTGCGAGACAACTTGCACATACGCGCGCGCAAGTACAAGCACCAACACATGCCCTTTTACATCAGCTAGCGTCAAATGTAAGGCAACAGAAAAGAGTATGCACACACCTACAAGGCAAGGCGCGAACTTGTGTACTTGCAATACAGTCCGAGCGCACACAACGTCGGTGTACGGAGTGGTACTGAGGGCGGTGTGTCGGCATGTTGTGGGTGCATGGAAACATAGTGTGGGCCCAGAGTCTTCCGAAACAGACGCAGTGGGAGGTAGTGGAGTCAAGCAGCCAGATGAAGTGAAGCATGATTGGGCGAGAAACATTGAGCGTAGCTTAGACCAGACTCACAGTACCGTGCGGAGACCGCCGGGATGTGAGTCACGTGTACAAATATATGGTGCATCTGTGAGGCCAAGGTGGGCTGGGTGTATTGCTCCGAGTGCACACACAGGGACACAGGTGGTCCCACATGCGGGGTATTTTGAAACTCTGCTGCACCGAATTATGAGCCTACGTCACTACTGGCCACATCACTGTAGGTTGAATGCGAATGACTGTGCGTGCAACTGCGAGACACTCCAGGGGCCGGGAGTAAGCCCTACAGGCTTGTCTGTATCTGACAGTAAAGGTTTGAGAAACGTTACCGGGAAGAGAGGCAGTAGGGCATACGCTGGATTATTGCAAGCTGGTGAGGGGGTGTCGCTATCTCCTAACGAAATAGTTACGATTCGTGATGAGTCTCCTGAGTACGAAGTGCCTTTGGATATATTTATGGAAGAGGTGGTGCACCTAGCACAGGAAAAACCGGGCCACAATGCACCCACCGTGATGTTACGGGCTATCGCGGCAATTATCTCCAGCCACCTCACAGGAGATGATCACAACACATCAACCCTGAACCACTCAACAAATGCGACGAGAGTCACGGCGGCGCATCGAGTTCGCATGGATGCCATTTGTACCACAGTGTTACGTACTCTACTACGGTACACGGGCCAGAGTCTCAGAGCGGCCGTATCTACGGTCAAAACAGAGTATACAGAAGAGGATACCACTAAGACGAATACGAACGGTGAAGCATTCAAGAAGCCATTGAGTCAACAAGCAAAAGAGGAGGCTCCTCAAATGTTAGAGGAGCATGGGTTGTTCACCCGGTTATCCCCGCTGCTGCTACTGCGCTGCCTTCCCGTTTGCACGTTCCACGAGCGCGTAACGAAGAAGCCCTTCTCTTCGTGCGCGAATGACCAAACAAGCCTTACACACCCACCTGAGTCAATCCAAGGAGATAGCCCATGTGATTCGGTACCAGCCACACATGCTGAGCGATCAGGGAGTTTGGCGGGCGCACGGGACAGCACCGAGCGCTCTGTTAGCGATACGATGCGCGATCTCATGATGCAATACATTGAGAATGCGTCAGAATACATTGAGACGCGCAAGGTGGCCGCTGAGCTGCTATCGCGCCTGTGCCCAGAGCGAGGCGTATGCGAGAGCCTGGAGACCGTTGCCAAGCTGATAGGCGAGTACGAGGGGACCGTTGCTACTCTGTTGGGAAGCAGAGCAGAGTCGCACGTGCAAGTAGAGAAGGATACCTCCACATCTACAACTGGGGTGCCAGACACTCAAGCACTGGGCGGAGCGAACGCACGAGCTCGGTCACGACGTCTGTACGATGGACTGGTGACCTCTAAATTGCTGATATACACCTGCAATTTGGCGATAGTCCGGATTTTGAAATCTGGTGCGAGGTCCGATCCTGATCCGAAACCTCACGAGAGCAGCAGCCCGAGTCACTTGCATGACGCGTCTATCTGTCATCACAGCACCAACAGCCGGTATCTGCCTTTTGCTATATTTCACGCTGCTGCGAAGGTGTTCTCTGCTGCGAGTCCTTGCTCAGAGTGTCTACCAGTTGAGTCTATCAGGGGCACGAGTATACAGAATGAGCGGCTGCGGCTATATGTAGATCGAGAGTACGGGGACGGATCTGCGAAAGAAACGGCCGACGCCCTGCGAAAACTTAAGTTGGGTGTATCCGACCTGTTGGGAATCAGCATACTTGCGCTGTCCGAGACCGAGGTGGTACACGAACACATAGCCCCAACCCTATCAACAAAGCTACGCTTGCCCTCGGGTATTTCAGCCGAATCGCAAACTCAGGAGAACCCATTAAGCAAAGTGAACACAACGCCAGAACCATTACTTGGTACACGCAAGACTTCCAATCCATCGGTGGAGCCACACACAGATTGCTCTGCTTCTAGGAACAGTCTCTGCGAATCTGCAGATATGGTCCAGTGGGTAATCGCAGCCGTAGCAACTCCCGCCGCACGCGTAAGTAAACGCCACAATTTCACCAGCGGAGAAGATATTTGCTGGGACCGACGGCGCGGCAAGTTCGATGAGGAAGACAGAAGCCGACAGTCAGGCCTAGATGGTGACATGAGCAAGCATGCGGACAGTGGTGGGGATATGGACACGTGTGCACCGTGGCTGATCTTCGCGCTGGGGTGTGCGCTGCGTTTGGCAGTAGACAAAGGGTTGTTCGAGCACGCCAGCACCCGCCAGCATACGTTTGAGAGGGTGTGGGCAGAGGCGAAGCCCTTCCTACTCAGCACCATCTCCGGTTCTCCGGTCTCGAGTTCAGGTGACGCTTTGCAATACATGCATGCCGATGTGGGTGACGCTCCAGCTCGCTCGGATCCGCAGAGCACCGTGTTGCACACTATAACGGCACAGTCTGTGCTGAAATCGGTAGCCGAGACGCACTACCGCGAAATGACCGACGTAGCACGGGCCAGGCATCACCGGACGGGTTACCTACAAGTCCCTGATATGTGGGATATTCTCCGAATCTGCATCCATGTCTTGCATGCACCTCCGCACACCAAGCGGAGCGCAACAGCTATGTCCTCAGCACACACCGACCTGCAAAATAACGCAATACAACGTAGTCAATCAGTTATCATGGCTACGCGCCAGGAGCGGGAGCGTTTGCAGGGGGTGGCGGCCACACACTGGGATATTCTCAGCGTGACGATACCTGTACTGCGGTCGCTTTCGGTGGCGAGAACCCGCCGACAGTTTAACGCGTCATCCCCACCACTGGAAGCGCTGCGAGGATACCTGGAGAGACTGATTGGTGTGGAACCGGAGCCTCGTGTATGTGCAGATGCACGTATACGATGTAACAGCCTGTGGCACACAAAAGGTGGTCCGAGCTACACTGGCAATAAGGAAGAAGACGATGCCATGAATGGCTCAGAGAATGCAGCCAAATTGCTTGAAGTGGATGCAGATAAAGTGGTAATGGAGACTACGAGACGACGACTTGTTCTGTACGAGTGGATAGATAGTGTGTCGGTAGTACCGTCGGAGATGCTGCGCTCGTGCGAGCAGTTAGGCGGCGGGTGGGGTGAGTTGTATGTGGTGAGACCTTCCCTGGTGTTTGCAGCTATGATGAATCTTAAGGCACTGCATGGCATATTGTAGCAGCGCGCATTATACTGATCACTGTGTATTGTATACACATTGGTCGGCGCAATTATAGCGCAGCGACAGATTGACACATTGAAAGAGCCAATCTTCCATAGACAATCACCACTTTGTGACATGTAGGTACGACCTACGAGGTCATGTAGTTGTTCTCGCCAGCACAAGTATCAAATGGTGCAAGGCGGAAAGCGCAAGGAAATGGGATATACAGCTTGTCAATCTGTCTTGTGCGAGTATTTGTTCATCAAAGAATAATGTTAAAATTAAATTTCAGCACGAGAGTGAAAGTGCTCGCACAGAATGTGCTAGCATTCCAATAATTGCATTATGATGGATAACAACGAATGATAGGATTTCTTTCTAAGGGTTCTGTTTATCGTATTGTATTTGTATCTAGATCTCGTTTTGCTGCAGCATAGCATTTGATAGTTCAATAGTAGATCAATGGCTACGAATCAAGTAATTTTTCAACCCGAGATGGTTGGGGGTAGAGTAGAGCATACGGTTCACGGGGCGATGATGGTTCGGAGTTCGATCCGCCTGTTAAAACTCGTACATAGCTAGGAGTGCATGCCTGCGTAAAGCAGGAGACGTCAACGGTTATGTGTACGAAAGTGAGCTCTTTTAAATACGAAAGTAGATGCCACTGCAGCTAATTGGCAGACAGTAGTTGTGAACCCAATTGATGCACAAGCAAACGATGAGCGTATGCACACACGAGTAGCACATGTCCAAGCGATGCTTCACCGAGTGGTACATACGATAGCGACTACAAGCAGCGCGAGCGCTGTAGAGCACTGCGTAGCGTGGTATTGACGGTGGCTGCTATTCCAGTGCAAGGGAAATTAGATAAACATCGCTTGTAACTATCCAGGTAACTGTCAATCCACATATTCTTGCGCTTAAATATAGAGATGACTGTTCAATACACAAAGCGACACAAACTTTCTGCGTGTGCTTTCTGATGCGTATGGATGACTGGGTGTGTTGGGACATGCATGTACGCCTGTATGTGCCGTGACATGTGTATGTATTGCTGTGTGTGCCTTGAAATATGTATGGCTGTGTGTGCCGTGAGATTGTATGTAAGACCGCATGTGCCGTCTGATGTATGTTTGACTACGCGAGCAGTGACATGTGTATGTATGGCTGTGTGTGCCTTGAAATATGTATGGCTGTGTGTGCCGTGAGATTGTATGTAAGACCGCATGTGCCGTCTGATGTATGTTTGACTACGCGAGCAGTGACATGTGTATGTATGGCTGTGCGTGCCTTGAAATATGTATGTATGACTGCGTGTGCCGTGCGATATGTATGACTGCTAGAATACATTACATAGTGTCTCGTTGACCACATATGACCATAAGCCTTTTTAAAGGCTATCCGCTACTATTGTTATTATAATGATCAGTGGTTTGGCTGTGCGTATATTAGCCACATACAAGTCTTTAAGCCGGAATTATTATGTTGCTGTGTGTATATCCTTGCTGCTGCTGCATACTTTTGTTATTGATAATCTACTCTTACTTTGTATGTATGTATGATGTTGGGGGATACGTTCTATATTGTTGTTTCTATATGTGGGATTCATAGATAAATAGGATATTCTTCTAGTTGTATATTGTTGGATCTGGATTGGCCGGCCGACAATGGGATGTTCATGAACTATATGTATCGTGAGCTGGAATGAATGTTGATCTGTTGTAGGCCACACAGACGCGAAATGTGTGTAGTATTGTCGTGGATAATGGTACATCTGGTGTAAATGGGCGAAGTAATGAATCCGAACAGTCTATGTACGTACTGAGGTGGCTTTTAGTGAAATACAAATGCTGCTCGCACACTACGTTTTATATTCCTTAGCCGAAAATAGACGCTGCTGCACACCAAACGTTGACGCTTTATTTAAAAAAAGTTCCTGTACGGCCACCCCAAGATCAAATTGGTTTAAAGCCATTGGTCAATGTATTCAATCGGATCGAGCACTGCGAAGGTAATGCCAGGGTGCGTGTAGTGGGAATATCCCAGATATAGTATAGTATGTCAGTATGAATGAAGACATATCAATAATACACAGATATAGATATGTACGAATGTACGCTTATGCATATAAATA